GCTTGGGTAGTTCGTGGAGCACCGCCACAGCAGGATTTGCAGCATCTCCGACAGAGTATTTTACTATAGTTTAAGTGGGCATATGTATTCAAAGGACCTTACTCATGTATTCAGTTTATTAAACTCAAAGTCTGTATTAAATTGGTTTTTAAATTATGTGTCACTGAGCTCCAGTTTTGTAAAATATTTTATAATAATTATTTATGTTTTATTTATGATACCATTCAGTATGTTTGAAAAGGAAATGAACACGTTTAGAAAATCAGGGGTTACCTTGCTGACCCAATGTGGCACTTTAGGCCCAATCGGGTTTAAGGTGTTACATTATCAGCTAGCTCTACCTCCGAAATTGGATAAGATTCATACTGTATTTCGTGTGTCGATGCTTTGAAGGTATCAATCAGATCCTTAACATGTTAGTACATCATAGGAAATTGAGATACAACTGGACTTGAAATACGAGGAAGAACATGTAAATATCCTAGTACATGGAGTCAAAGAACTAGGGAACAAAACGATCCCGCTCGTAAAGTTCTTTGGAGAAAGTATAAGGTTGGGGAAGCCATGTGGGAAAGAGAAGAAGATAGGAAAAAAGTAGTATCCTCGTCTTTTTGAACAAGGTACGTACTGAAAATTCGATGTTAAATATGAGTCGTTAGATAAAAATGGCTAGATCGTAATTTTGGAAAAATTTAAGGGAAAAGTTGGTATCTATTAATAAGTTGGTTCATCTTTGACCATTGGATGAATAATTTTAACATATGGAAAAATAAGATACATGTGACCATAAGAGTAAAATGGTCATTTGGCATTAAAATGACAAATGAATTAAGATTTTTATTTAGAAATTTCAAGAATTCTTCATCATCTACAAGCCATTGCTGTTAGTTCCTCCATAGGTAAGAAAATATTTTCTTTTCAATTTTCAAGCCAATTTGTTAGGATTTTGGATGAAAGTATGAAATACAAATTTTTTACAAGAGATTCTCTATCATTTGGTACCATTTGTCCATGCTTTTCATGCTTGAAACGCTAGGTTCATGGATTGGATGGATGAAGGGGATGTTAGGTTTTGATGTACTAAGGTTTGTTTATGATGTTGTTGATTCATTTTCGTGCTTGAAAGATTATGAAAACCAATAGGAAATGGTTAAAATAAGTTTCGTCCAAGCTAAGTATTTTATGGAAATTGGATGTTTGAATTGAAATTGATATAGAATTGGTTGTAATTGCTTGGAAATGAGGTTTAGAGATTGAATTCATGTTTGAAACAAGTTAAAGACCTTGTCTAAAATTGCTCTTCATATTCGGTTTGAAGAGGGAAAATAGGGGAAATTTTGGAAAATTATACAATGGTTAGAGATGATGAATGAATGATTCTACAAGCTTTGTTAGAGATGATGAATGAATGATTCTACAAGCTTTGTAATGTTGTTCAGACCAATTTAAAAGCTTGTAAAGGTTTGGGACCAAATTGCATAATGTAAGAATATTGGGTTTGAAATGAAAATTGATTAAAAGTTTATATGCAATGATCAAATTTGTTGGAATGCTTGAATGTGTTACTAGATGTTAGGAATTTGAAGTTAAATGAGAAGGGACAATTTTGATATTTTTGGAAAGGTTGAATGTTAAATTGTCTCCTCTTTAAATAAGAGAGTCAATACATGCTTGCTCTAATAGTAGGAATATATCGACTACCAACAATATCATCACATAACGTTGAAAGAAAAAAGTCTCCTCCAAGGTCCAATGGTGATTATTGTCATCCGTTTAAGTATAAATGCGAACCAGGCTGAAAAAAGCCGTCTCTGTTTCAAAACAATATAGGCGGTTGTTCTCTCATCGATCGTGACTCTTTTTCCAAACCATAATGGGTGAACAACCAACAACTTATCACAAAATGTATTTTCCACCATAAGTCTTGAATCAAGCTACTTTATATCATTCCTTCGACCAAATGACTCTCCACCCAAACTAAATGGGATAAATTATCAAAGACCTGATTAAAAAAAAACTGCCAACGAACGACGAGACCAACGTGCTTCCATAAAAATATTAAATAATTTGTTGTAAAGAAATTTATATTTCATTTGTCTATTCGAAATTATTATGAATTTATACAATTTTTATGTATAACTTTCTAGCCTTTGTATATTTGTGTAGTGTTTTATTTTAATTGTTTTCTCGTGGCTTAATTAATAAGTTCTTTATATATAAACTTAGAAACTAAAGAATTACTTGTGGCGTATCAATTAAATGACTCTTTTATTTGATTTGAAGAAACCATATTTTTGTTGATAGATATGCTTAGACTTGATTCTGTGCTCATTAATTCTTACATTAAAGTGAGTAATAAAAGTTTCTGGAAAATTCTTTGATACAACTGTCCATGGGCACTAACATATTCTAACTTAGCATCTATTACTATATTTAAAAATAGGGTAAACTACGTCAAATACCACTCATCTTTATGTTCGGACTCGAAAATACCACTGACGTTTCAATTTTGCCAATTTTAATACGGACGTATATCTTTCACTGCAATTTTATCACTCTGCCGTTAATCTGTTAACGGGACGATGATATGACATCTTTGTTCCGTGATGGCGATAACACGACTCCCTCATCAAAACGATGTCGTTTTGATGCTCAAAAAACTTAAAATGACGTCGTTTTGTTGGTGAAAAAAATGCTTTTCATGGCTCTCTCTCTAACCTTGATTAAGGAAATATCATAGATTCAAAGGACCTTTTAAGATGTTTTTCACTGTTCGGAAACTAAGAAAACAAGGAAAAGTTTATGATCCCAGAAAGAAAGAAAGAAAGAAAAACCCCCTTTTTGATTCAAAGCAGCTCTTAATTCCCAGCAGGTTATATCAGTAGCAAAGTGGTGATCATTAAGATGAAGGTGATCATCATCAACCGCATCAAGAGGAAGAAGAAGAGCAGCCATTAGTTCCAACATGAGCAACACTATCAGTTTCGAAGTGATGGATCAGATTCTGACCATTTCTGTGCTCGCTGCTGCTGATGCTGCTGTTGTTATGTAGATGTTCTTCATGGTCGAGTCCAATACATTCAATTATTCCATCTCTCGATCCTCCAATGGCGTCTTTCTTTCCAAAAGTGTTATTGTTGTTATGCATCCAGACTTTTAAAACCCCTCAATCAACCCCAACCTCATGGCAGAATTCTTGAATGTCTTCTTCATCTCTTTTATGGATTTTCCATCCGATTTTCTCAGCAAACTCCAGCATCTTATCTTTCTGGTACTGACTGAACTTTGTTCTGAATCTTTTCTTCAAGTTCAAGTTCGACCCGAGATTCGCAGTGTTGGGTGCAAGGCCACCAGCTGGCAAATGGGAGTTTCTTAGATTTCCTGAAAGAGCTAAAAGCATGTGGGGAGCTGAAGGGTATTAAGATGATGAGATCGAAGGCGGGGAAGCTGAGTTAGGACTACGATATGGTTGGCTTGCCGATGGTGGTGGATGGTGGAGCTGATATTATATAGTAGCGGTGGTTGTTGTGGGTGGTGGATCATCGGGTTCACGGCGGTGGAAGTTTCGGTGGCAACCACTAGCAGCGCATTTGAGGGAAGTTGGGGTCAGTTGGGGTGGCTGTCGGGGAGGGCATGAATTAGCCGCAACTGTCTAAAGCGTAGCCGCCTAAGGTGGCTGCATGGTTCTTCATACATTCTCTGTAGGTTATGACAATGGGCGGTGCTTGGTTCTGAGGCTTGTGACGCTTCAGAACACCGTAGGTTATCAACAAAACGACGTCGTTTTGAGTTTTTTGAGCATCAAAACGGTTGTGTCAAAACGACGTCGTTTTGACGAGGGAGTCATGTCATCGCTATCATGGAACAAAGATGCCATGTCATCGTCCCGTTAACGGATTAATGGCGGAGTGATAAAATTGCAGTGAAACAAAAATGTCCGTGTTAAAATTAACAAAATTGAAACCTCAGTGGTATTTTCGAGCCCGAGTTTAAAAATGAGTGGTATTTGACGTAGTTTACCCTTAAAAATAATTTTTTTTTATTAAAAAATAATCAAATTTGAAAAGTTGTAAGGCTCGTCCTCTATGCAGTCTTGGATAGCTCTAGATCAAGGATGCTAATTGAGTGCAGCAGTTTACGAGTAATTTAAATTTGATTTGATTAATGTTCGGTTTGAGTTAATTCAATTTGATTTTAAGTTCGACTCAAAATAGTAATGAGTCGATTCAAACAAGGTTCAACAAGAATCGATAAGTTTATGAACAATTTGTTAATATTTTATAATTATTTAAGATGATATTTACTTCATTTTTACTATTGATTATGTATTGTTGATTTTTTTATGAATGGTTGTAATATATATTAGTTAGGTGTATTTGTGGATTGGTATTTTAGTTATAATATGTTAGTTTAGTGTATTTATGGATGTTATTTTAAAGTTTAAACTTTAAAATTGCTTTACACACTATTTTGGTAAAAAAAAATTTGTTAAATTTATTAATGTAAGTTTGTATTAAATTTCATATAGCTAGATTTTACATCTATTCATAAAGACAAGGTAAAAATTCTAACGAGATTAACGAGTCAAGTCGAACAACTATTTTTTTAACCAGCACGAGCCGAACAAAGTTTTAACGTGCTTAACGAGAAACAAGTAAAATTGAACAGTTGAACAATTTTCAAGTCATGTATTACTTAACTCATGATCGAGTCCCTTGATAAACAGCTCTACTCTAAATAAAAGTAATATGTCATTAAAGTGATTTTAATCGTTAAGCTTGTAGCCGATCAATAAGAAAATTGTGTATGGTATCAATAACAACATTCTAATGTATTTCAAAATCTTACGCCAAAGGCAAAAAGAAATAAGATAAAGTATTTCTGTTATTAGAAAAAATACCGATCCATTTGGAGTCCTAACTGTTTCTTTGAAACCTTGTGGCAACCTATGTTCTGGAAATCATGTAACTTCTCATGGAAGCCATGTGAGCCACAATGGATAAAAATTATTAACCATTCTCATTTATCTAAAACAATACGACAGACTAGCATACATTCATAGTCACAGAGTTAATGATACATCACGCATCTTTATCCGATGCTCGAAATCTCAACTCGGGAACAGAATGGCGGAAACACATAACTTACCAGGGCGGAATGGCATCCTGCACATTTTAGCTTTAGGTAGAAAAGGATCACTCAAACGGATAACTCAGTCTTGGAGATGAGGATACCATCAGTGTCTGCATAGAGCCAATCCCCATCACAGATCCTAGTCCCGGCAATGGTTATTGGGACATGTTTCTCCCCAATTCCCTTCTTATTGGCCTTCATAGGATGAGAATGAAGCGCTCTCACCCCAATGTCACAACCGTTTATCTCGTCAACATCCCTTACGCAGCCGTTAACCACTATTCCAGCCCATCCGTTATTTTGAGCTTGAACCACAGGGTTGCCTCCAAGTATGGCACACCTTAAACTACCACCCCCATCAACAACTAGAACTCTTCCGTTACCCTTCTCCTCAAGGAACTCACGGATCAAAACATTGTCTTCAAACACTTTAAGTGTAACTATAGGTCCAGAGAAAACCGGGCGACGACCATATATTTGGAATATTGGCTGGAAAGCCCGAAGCTCACCACCCACAATTAGCTGTGGATTTGCATCACAAACTTCAGCAGTTGTAACCAAAGCCATTAATTACAGACACTCCTTCAAGGTAAAACAACAATTGAAAAATAGTATCAAGGCCGAGAGAGATGAAGATACAATCACATTTTCTAAAAATTAGCTTGGTATAGAAGCAAAAAATTATCCTAATTACAGAAAAAAAGCCAAATATGAAAAAAAAGCCAAATATGAAAAAAAGACAAAGAAACGATGATAGAATGCACACGTAAAGGAAAAGGAAAATAAAAGTTTTGTAAACAATCCAAGGACTAAAAGAGCTCTCCTCTACGTATCACCTTCATTAAAACAATCAATTCAGATTCGGAAGCTCTAAAATGATAAAATTATGGACAATCATAAACATTTAAGGGTGATGAACCTGGGGATCAATCTACTTGATTCTTGCAGCTACTCTTAAAGAGGCAACAGTTTCCTTTACAGGACATACTCCTGAACAACCAAGCATTAGTCATGTACAAAACTATGAAACACAATAACCAATTCGTACTGTCATTGCAATCAGAATTCAGAAAAGTTGTCAAGGATCTATGCCCAAATCAAGAAGCATGAAAAACCATGGATTTAAATAGCGGTTTGCTATCGGAATAGCGGTAAAAGTGTCATCTGAAACCATTATTGGATGACTGTTATATCGCAATGACTGCAATGGCACCCACTAGTGTTGCAATCGCAACCAAAAACCCACAACCGCTATTTAAATCTATGTGAAGAACAGAACAAAAGTTCCAACGTCAAATCCAACGCATCAAAAACAAACCATCCACATTTAGACATAACTAAATCGGAGAAAAAGACCTTCGAAAAAATAAATCGGAGAAAAACAAGAGCAAATGCAGCAATAGTGGAGGGAAAAATGAAGCAGCTACAAGGAAGACATTAAGATCCATTATTTGGAACAAAATATAAGAATGCAATTCAAATTCTTCATATATGAAAACTTATTATGATTTAATAACTTGAAGTTTTCGCCTATATTAATATTTATCAAATTCTTAATCACACCTTTATGATCTATACCTTTTATCTTAAGTTCATGTATTTTATTATCATAATCTTTTGCTCACCGTTCAGCATATTTACACATAATAAAAAAGTGAAACTTCTAATCTAAATAAGCAGATCAAAATAGCCCAATTCAAAAGACTGATTAGTTTGCATAACACCATCGAATCAATACAATAAAAAAGCAAAAAAAAATATCACAGATTATCGGAAAACTGAAAATTGGGAAAAATCAAAGTGTTGGGTTTTCTTTTTTACCTAGTAATTGAGCTCGTCAGATAATGATTCAGAAGATGCAAAGTGAAAGTTGAAACAGAGAGTTTGTGGTTTCAAAGGAAGGAAATAGTATGTATGGCTGCTAAATCGCGTGATTGTTTGTTTGCTTTTCCTACAATATTTAGGGTAAAATACAAGCGTACTCATTAGACTTTATTCTCTCTCTTATTTTACTCATTTTACTTTCAATTTTTTTAATTTACTCATCAAACTTTAAACATTTAACTTTTTTGATCACTCGATTTTAATAATAAATATGTCACACATTTACTCACTGAACTTTACTCTTTCTCTTCTTTCACTCATTGTAATTTTAATTTAACAATGTTTTAACGCCTTTTAGAAATTTAATGGTCGAATGATGAAAAAAATTCAATGTCTAAAATTCAGTGAGCAAATTGAAAAAAAATAATAGCAAAGTAAGTAAAATAGAAGAAAATAAAGTTAAGTAAATAAGTGTGTAATTTACTCTTTTTAATTTTAAAGGTTCATTTCTGTTTCTGTTTATTATTACCTATTACTGTTCTTCCCATTTCGATGAGATGCTGACCTGACAAACGTTTCTTTGGTAATCAAGTATTTAACACAAACAAGAGTTTTTTTTTTCCTTTATCATTTTGGTTAATAAACTTAAAATAATCATTAAATTAATTGAACCGTTATAAAATAGTGATTGTCGCCTTACTTGTTAAAGGACGATTTGATACTTCAATAATATTTAATATCTCATTTATTTTATTAATTATAAATAAGATTTTATTATAGTACATTTTTAACGTCTTTGTAATAAATTTTAAAATAATTATAAATTTTAAAATATAAAAATATATATATTTTTAAAACTATAAAAAATTAAATTATAATGAAAGAGATAAGGGTGTCTAAAAAACTGTTACTGTCAACCTGTACAATCGTTACATTTAACAGGTTCAAGATATTGGCAGATGTACATACTTATACCGATGTTGTTAGGATCATTGGTACACCTCATGGCGCATCGGAAAAATTATCTAAGGATCTCTCCAGTGATCCATGTGCGAAAAATCGAATTCGGGAGGAAGAGTTACGATATATACCTTGGGTTCCTGGAATAACAACAAATCGACAGCAGTCACGAAAAGTTTGAATCCTAACCTCCACGAAATCATCTTGGCCTCTACTCAATTCACTCGGTTGAGAGTAATTTTCTTTTTCTCAAAAACTGTTTTTGAGAATTTCGTCTAAAGTGGGATAAGCAGCTACTAGACCATACTTTCCCATTTATATCAAGTTGCCCAACCCTTAGGGTTTTTATTCGAAACATATTTAATTTTGAATTTTATTATTATGATTTTATTTCTATTAAAGGAATTGTAATCATAATAACATTATTTAATATTTATTAAATTTGGGATAATTGAAATTTCACACACACACACATATATAGGTATATAACATTATTATTATTAAAAGATCCATAGTCAAGTATTATTATGGGCATGGACAATAATAATACGCTTGAGACTAACATGTTATTGATTGATGACAAACGAGTTGTCATTGACATAGAGATGTCAGAATTGATACATGATTATATTGTTAGAGAACAATGTATTGGATTGACCCACCATTAGCATATGTCTTGGATTATTATGTAACGATCATAACATTGCTCATGGTGATGACTATATGTATGATCCTCAGACTTGAGATCAATGTTATCCCAACATATATTGTTGTATGTTTTGATACAGTTAAACATGCTCCGTGATTGGTTGCACTATAAATACTGTTATTGAATATATCTCGATATATGTAGTAGGGTGCGTATGATTAAGATAGGATTTGTCCTTCCTGCATAATAGGAAATATATCACAGGTTACTTGATTGAGTGAGACTAGAGATGCATGGCCATGCTCGAATAAGTTGATATAAGATATCACAAATTATTTGTTAATTATAGTCTATCTAGATATCATGAAACAATAAATGGACTATACAAGACTATTTCAAGACTTGTGCCTATTCTAGATAAAAAGGACAAAAGGACGTAATACATAAAAGAGTTCATCACGAAGATGATATGTCGAATAATAATTTCTTGTAAGTTAGGTGACAATGATATATTTTTGGATATCACTCATTGTATGTAATATTAGAATTGTTCTAATAATTACTACTAACGTTATAAGAACCTACAGGGTCACACCCTAGGATTGAAATGAGAAAAGATTTACAATTTGTTGTATGTTACTAAAATATATCTAGAGTTAATATATGTATATTTGATATACATATGATTTTAATTATCTCGAATACAGTAAGTAAACATTAAAAGAATTGTTGAGTTAATCGATTGATGGAATCGGCCAAGAGGGGGTGAATTGGCAATTAAAATTTTGGTGGAAGCTTTTGCAGAAAATTGAAAAGATTTGCACAGCGATTTAGAGTGGTTCGACTTTCTCAATCAAAGTCTACGTCCACTACCTTAGCTATCCACACTAAGGATTTTCTAACAAATTCACTAATTTGTTCTTTCTTTTGAGGCCAAAGAGACAACCTTACAACACTCTCAAAAATATACCCCAATTCTTGAGAACACTGAGAAGATTACAAATTTGCAAACTTACAAGGAAATCATCACAAGGTAGATTGTTTCCACAATTCTAGAACGAAGAAAAGAACACTCAAGAATGAATACAATTGAGTACAATAAGTGTTCTTGAAAGCAAAATGAATATTGAACGAAAAATAGGCTTGAATTGCTCAAACAATGAGTTTGATGCTTTCTCTTTGATTCTCTCTTGATTCTAGTTGCTTGTTCTTTCTTGTTATTGATCAATGGCTTCTAATCTTGTTTAAATGAACCTTCAAATGATTCTGAACGTTGGGGATGATTAGTGGAGTTAATAGAGCCGTTTAAGTGTGAAAATAATTAATTAAAGCAGTTGGGAGCGTCAGTGCATCGATGCATACTCTAGGTGCATCGGTGCATCAGTGTAAAATTCAAATATTTTGACCGTTGGACTCTCAGTGCATCGGTGCACTAAGAGTGCATTGATGCATCAAGTGCATTCTATGTTTAAAAATAGCCAAAGTGCATCGATGCATGGCTGGTGCATCGATGTATCAAATGCATTCGATGTTTTCATAAAATCCTCAGTGCATCGGTGCATGGTATGTGCATCGATGCATGAAATGCATTAGATGTTCAATTTAATTCATGGTGCATCAATGCATGGATCGGTGCATCGGTGCATCACTTTGAAAAATTGATTTTAGGATTGATTTTGGTTCAAAATACTTTGTGAAAATTGTTTCAAAAATATATTAAGTATAAAACACAATTTTACACATTTAGTAAGGTTTGAAATTGATCTTAAAAGACTTGGAGTAATAATTTGATATCCGATTAATTGAATCGAATATACTTAGAAAATCATGTGTAAAATCTTAAAAATCATTTAAAATAATTTGTTATATCGAAACACAAAAATGTTTTCAACAATCTCCCCCTTTTTGATATAACAAAACATTTGTGTTATTTTAAGATTTTCTAAAAATTTGAAATCAATTTTGAAAAATTACTCCCCTTACTATAACACTTATCCCTTTTAAAACATTTTAACACTTAACATTTCTCTCATTTTTTGTTAAATCAAAAAGACTTAAAAATCGATTTAAACAAGGTTTTGAAAAACATAGCCAATTGATTATATATATATAGCTTAAGCTGCTAAGATCACAATCAAAAGAGAGATTAGCCATTAGTTCCATAAACAATATTCATAAGTAAATGTGAAATGGCATAATTGGTCATATATCTCTAATGATGAAAAAAATAAGAAAATTCAACCAAACCAAATATATATATATATATATATATATATATATATATATATATATATATATTAAGTTCAAAATCCAATCATCCAAACCATAACAAATTCAAACATTAATCAATCCAAAACAAACAGTCCTGAAACATCAAAATCAATCCATGTTTTTTTTTAAAAAAAAACAAGAAAGCAAGGAAAATGTCTAATCCATAGGAGGGTTGGAGGAGGAGGATAATGAGCTTGAACTTCAAGAGTGAGCGCGTCCATACGTTCACGCATCTTCCGCTGAAACTCAGTAATCTGAGACTCCATGGAGGCAAACCTCAGATCAAACGACTCCAAGAAGGATCGAAAATATGGTGGCATTTGATCTTCTTATCGTGCCGGTTCCGGTGCAGGCTCATTGTCTGGAACGTGATCGTCGATATCTTGCATAAGTTGTTGAAACTCAGGATCATCGTCAGCAACCGGTGGCATAGGAGGAGGAGGAGCACGAGAAAGTTGTTGAAACTCAGGATCATCGTCAGCAACCGGTGGCGTAGGAGGAGGAGGAGCACGAGAAGAGCTAGGAGAAGCTCGTGAAGAGCTAGCTCCCGGCATTTTCTTATAGGGTCGAAATACCCAAAGACCGGTTTCCTCGTCTTGCTTCCAATCCACTTTCTTCAAGGAAGTAAGATTGATTTGATTTTGGAGTGGGATAGGATTGTCGAGAGACGTCTAGACCAAGTTTGATAAAGAGGTTACTAAGAAGACATCCATAAATTATGTTTCAACATGTTTTGAAGGAACAATGTTTATGATGTCCACTAGTTGACTGAATATAATATCCATATTTTCACTCTCATTATATATACCACTATCATCTAACCCAAATCGGAAAGCTATAGTCTTGGGGTCAATATTAATATATTGGCCTAAAAGATAGGATCTAAGGCTATAGTTCAACATTGAGTTTCATTTTGAATACACACCGCATTGGAATAGAAAATGCGGACCAATTGTTGATAGACGATAGGTTTAAGCTGAATCAATTTATAAAACTTCCAAGCTTTAAAAATCGGAAGGTATTCGAAGTCAATATCAATCATGGCTTGAAGCGAAGGAATACGCTCTTCACGAATTCTATAAGTTTGGAAAGAATTTCTGTACCTAGAGTATAATTCGTCTATTCGACGCTCAGGCATGTTAAAGCAAGATCCTAATAGGCTATTAGGAGGTTGAGGAATGGGATTAGGAGGTTGGTTTGAACGA